GTGCGGGGTGGGTTGGGGTTGGGTTTTTTTTTTTTCTTTTTTCTTGACATTGGGATGAACCCTTCTGTGTCAAGTGGAGAAGGTAGAGATGAGCACAGATACTTTTTGCCAAACAATTAAAACGCATGAGGGAAACCCGAAGGTAATGTGTTTGCTTAAATCTGAGCGTTTACTGAGGCGTTTATGTCGGAGTTAGTGCAACTTGAAACGTTTTCTGCAGTGACTTTGGCACAAGGTTAGTAAATATTGTTTCAAAGCAGGACTTCCCTTGTACTATTTCTAGCAGGTATCAGAACCTGCATTCCAAAAGCAGTTTGATTCTAGTATTTTTATATTCTAAGGCATTTTTAGATAGTTGTAGGAGAAGTTTAACTTAAGGTTCTTTGCACGCTATTATCTCTGCTAGATTTTCTGGGTGAGTTTAAAATGTATCTCCAATACTCGAGCTGCATGCACTGAAGCTGTATGAAACTGATAGAAAAGGTATTCTTTAAAGAAATCAGCTATTTTTTTAGCTTGCTTCTTCATTAACCAGTGCTAGATAAAGCATGCTGATGAGTATCTTGACTCTCCTAAGTTTTACTTTTACCATCAAAGGTTATGTTTTAACGGTAAATTAAGAGCTCATACTGCATGAGTTTAGAACAAATAGCAGTTGTAAGCTGGCTTCGTTTGTAGTCTATTTGTGGCTTTGATCTTCTTCTATAGGTGTTGTCACTTTTTCTAGTTTTTGTTTTTTGTTTTTTGTTTTAAAAGGAGACTTGTTTACAAGCTGATGAAAAATCTTAGCTGATGAGATAAGGGATTCAGAAAAGGTTTCTTCATTTCTTGGTTTAAATGAGTTGTATACTCAGCTAGGCAGAATTTGTCATAAAAAATTAAGCTCGTCATTTTTACAGAAACTTGAAGGTCAAAATACTGTGGGTCATAGTCCTTGGATTTAGTTACCTTTGCTATGGCATAACATGCTATCTCTTGTATGTATAGCTGACGTACTGTAAATAAAAAACCTGCACACAGTTCCACTAGCAAGTATTAATCTCTAGAAGTTCGTGTACTGCCTTAGTTTATTTTGTATTTCTTGGAAACATAATTGAATGTCCAAGGGTTAGATTGTGTCTGTGTGTGTTGTTGTGCATGAATGCATGCATGGTCTTTGGGATACAAATAGTTGTCTTTAATACCGCGTCTGGTGCGTGGTCTGGGAGACATGTATGAGCATGACTGTTACCACTTAGACCTACTACCTTCCTGGACTGTGAATGAAGAAGGTGCCTGTAAGCTGTGGCCAGGTGACTCCTTAATGAGACTTTTTATTATCCGTTTCCTTGTGGGGGTGGAGGTGAGGGGAGCAGTGATGACACTCTGCAGTCAAGGGAGAACTATTGATATGGGCACCCTGAGCAAATCTGTCTAGAAAAGTCCTGGAGTCCATCAGGAGTCCTTTTCTGCCACCTGGCAATACAGTCAGCTACGTTAATCTGTCAGGTATTGGGAGCCTTTGGTGTGGGGGAGGGAGAGGTGAAGAGGGGGTGAGGGACTCAACTAAAATCAGCGAAGCTAAGAAAGAGGTTAATATCACAATTTCTGAGTTAGGGCTGGGGAGGAGGGGATCGTGTCTTGGCTGGCTGTTGTACTAGGCCTACAACCATAGAGTCCTTAGCCCCTCAAGTCATGAAACCACTGCCTGTGTTTCTCTGCTCTTTTCTCCTTGTGCTTAGAAACAGGTGACAGCTTTTTTTTTTTTTTTTCTTTTCTTTTCTTCCTTTCAATCCCTGGAGCTCCCCAGAGCAATTCTGTTGT